TAGCTTATGTATTTCTGCAGCTATGTAGAGTAGCAGGAAAAAAGGTAGGAAAAAAGAAAACATTACAATGAACACAACACTTAGAACAGGCAAATGGTTATACACATTTGAATATACATTTATGCTGGCATTTTAACTAACAAAGTGTGGAGAGAGAAGTGAAAAGTGTAGACTCCTTACCAGTGGATACCCAGAATCCGTAAGTGGATGGGGTCTGGAGGAAATAAAGAAAAATGGGCAGTGTTAATTGTAAAAGGTAACAATTTAACTTTAAAAGTACTTTAATATGACGTATCTATAAGGTTCTGCATGAATCCTCTGTAGTATGTGTAGTGGTTAGCAATAAACAAGGTTCCAGAGATAATATGTAATAGAACAGTATGTAGTTCATATTTAGATATTATTTGTGTTAGTTGTGTAAGGATGTAAGGCTGAGCTAAGTGTGTACGGAAGCTTGATCTGTTTCTCTTCTCTTGCTCAAGCAGGAATATCTTGGGCTGTGTCCCCCTTGTTTAGCCTATGGGTCAACATCCTCCTCGACTTCCTCCTCAGACAGGGAATGGATATACTATAGCTGTAGCCTTACGTGAACTGTTCGTGTGCTCTGTTCAGATTAAGAAAAAGTAAATGTGCGCTAGGTCAATGTGACCCAGAAGTTCAGGTACTGGACAGTTTAGACAATGCTCGGAAGAAGAGGTGTGTGGGTAGCTGGCATGGGACCGCGTCTTCATGGCTCAGGCCATGGAGGCCTTGTGAGTATGAGCAGATAAAGAGCTGGGTTAGAGCAGAAGAAGAGGGAGAGAGGATGACAATGCTATTGGGACAGTAAACCGTGTACTTTGTGGGGACGCTGACCCAGCCGGCTGGGGGGACGCTGAATTAAGACTGACAACTGACTGTGGGCTGACGACAACTGACTGTGGGCTAATGAAGACTGACTGATTCTGTGACAACTCTCATGTAATACTGTATCTATTTTATTGCAGGGGGAGTGAATATGTTCTCTGTTCCCTAACTACAGGATTATGTGTTTAAATACTACTCTATTCAGAATAATTGTAATATTCAATGATCCTTTAGATTGGGATGGTTTGTCTGAATTAATTTAGTCGGCATCACACTCTAGCCACGACAAACCTTGGCGTTGTCTTTGTAGGTAGGAGCCTAAGTTGGGAGAATTTTACAATTTTTGACTGTCCTCAAAGAATTTGTGTAAAGGGAACCAAATAATTTGATTTTATCCTGACAGGTGACTGGGACGACTGCTGCGATTACTAACACTAACGTCATTACTAATACTGATGTAAATAACTTGCTTTAAATGTTTGCAGGATACAGTAATGTTGCTTTTACATGTCTGAAGTTTATGTGATAGTGAAACAGCCTATTAGGATTGACAGGGAAAAAGTTATAAGTGGTAGACAGCAGATTGAACAGCAGAGGTCTGTCCTATTTGTGGATTCCCACTCAGAGCGCTTTCTGTATGAGAATAAGTGTGGACTTTGATGTGTGTTTAAACATGTGCATTTATATTTTTTTTGGTGTTGAGTAGTGACTGATATGTGTGTCTGAAGTTAGGGACAGAGGGAGTGATTGAGAATTGTGTGTATGGCAATTTCTTGTTGTTTTTGTGTCAATTTCATGTG